GAATGGAGAAGGTTTTGCTGGGGAGGGCCAGGGTTGAAAACCAAAGTAACAGTATTCTCAAAACATACTCTCATATGACTACTATTACGGTCTCACTATTTAATTCAAATAAGAACTATTTCAGATTTAAACCAAATTAGATTTAACAAACGAGAAATATACTAAAATTTGAATTAAAATATTTTAAAAATAATTTTCTTTGTTACATAAAATTTAACTGGCTTCTACCCATTTTTCATTTTTTTACCTTTTAACTTCAGACAACAGCATGTAGAGAACTAATAACCTCACTGAGGTATTTTAAAATCCTTTCATATAAACCCAATGCAGTAAGCACTTAAATCACTGCACTGCTTACAGAAGGCAGACTTAAATTTATTCTCACATTTCTTTTCTACATTTTTCAACCTTACTTACTCTTTTAGTTTCTCACCTGGGACATTTTAAGTTAAAGCACCTGTTTAGTAAGCAGCTAGGGAAACCTGACAAACAGAACATTTTCCCCATTTAATCTAAAAATCTAAAGATTAAATTAAATGCTGGCAATTTTATATTTTGTCACCAGACCTCTTGGCTGTATTTTGCCTTTGTGGTGCTGAATCACAACCAAGTGACTTGTCTTGTGAATGTTCCTCTCCATAATCGTCCAAAGCAGTACTGTGCAAAGGGTGATCTATAAAGAACAGAAAATAAACTGTATGAAAACTGTTCCCATCTGCTAAGGCAAAGAGCACTGCCTGCCATTAAGCATTTAGTTAGAATATTTGTGCTTTGCTAACTAATAAAAAGGAAGGTCTTGTTCGAAGTATTATTTGAGGATTAGGAAAAAATATATAGTGGGAAGTTTCATAGTTTCTATACCCATTCACCTGCTATTTGTTTACGAGCTGAAACCAAGGTGCAGGAAAGTTTAGCACGTACATAGGACATATAGCAAGCAAAATATTTTGTATAGTTTGTTTAAAGTGTCTCTTGTGATAGCTGACATAAGGGTCAGTGGGCATCCTTTCTGTAGTTTAAATGCACTCTGTAAAGGTGAGGGAAGAAGAGCTTTTCATTTTGCAGCCTTGCCCCTATAACAACCCTTTTGCTCTATTGTTCTTTACAGCTATCTATCTTTCAATCTGTTCCTAGTAGTCACATGTATATTTCTGTAAAATTCTTAGAGTAATAACTATTACAGTTGAGAGATAGCTCTTAGCATTTTCTCTACAACTTCTAATTACACAGTTCTTCAAATATTTATATATATATATATGTATCTATTTATCAGAGGACTTCACACAGGAGCACTTACTCCGTCTAAATTGATTCTCTTCCAGTATACCAAGACCTCATTACACAAGCTCAACACAAAGCATGGAAGTGGTTTCAATCCTTCACCAAAAATTGTATGGGTTTATGTTATTTTTTTAAGTGACATTTGAGAGTGGCAGAACAACATCCCTGCAAATGTCCAAGTTTGTTGTCATGAATACTCTTACAATAGCAAAAATTTCACTTCATAATCTGTGCAATTTAATAGAGAATAACCTAAGATATCGGACTTTGGTTTTTAGATGTAAATTCGTACACAACTGTAACATTGTAATGTGTGAAATTCTACCATTCAGAATACAAAACTTGAATAGCCAGCATTGACTTTCACTTGCACACATTACAGCATTATCCTTGTTACTCCCTAAATTGTAGAAAACGACATGAAAAACCCTCTGTCTCTCCTGACCATTACTTTCTCTGGCAAAGAAACAATACCTTTTCCTAGGTCAGCATTGAAGTGTTTTGCCCATGTGGTTTATGAAAATCATACATGAAATAACATTCAAATGAATACTAACCAATGGAATCATCATGCTCCTCAACTTGATTTGTGTCCGCTACCTTCAATATCCTTGAGACATCTGGTCCCTCAAGTGGAAGTGATTTCCAGTGAGGAATCCTGAAGGTGGCTTTGTGTTCCTAGAGGGGCATGAAATTAACAGCTAGCTCATCCAGCTTTTTGAGTAGAACACAGAATAAATATGACTATGTTTGGTCAAGAATGTTTGACTAGAAATCATTTAACCAGGACCATACTGACAACTGAGCTATGGTATAAAGTATTTGAAGCCTTGCTTTCCCCTCAGGCTATGGGGTTTTCTCCTGAGAAGGGATGGTATAAAAAGCATATATTCTGCTATTTGATACTGTTCTCTAGTGCAAGCACTGTCTTATTTCATAAAAATAAGTGTACAAACTTAGAAATCATATAACAGTCTAATATTTGGTTTCTATCATCTGTGGGCTTTGTCTTTTCAAGCTTTAAAATATTTCTTCTTTCATCTCTATATTACATAAATTTTCATCCTTGTCCAATGTAATTATTTTTATTTTAAAAATTTGAAAAGCAATAGTGTAAGTTCCTGTAAAAAGTGGAATTTGCAAATCAAGGATTACACAAACACCTCTGTAAAGCAGCAGGGCAGAGAATGACACTAGTTTACGAAACAGTAGTGTGTCATTCACAGCATGTGGCAGTGAATTTCCTCACTGATTTGTGTGCGTGCATGGAAATGGAATTACAACCAGAAAACACTGACTTACTGAGCTTTTAGTTTTACCAGTGCTGAGCAGTGCCTCTTGAGCTCTATTACGGTACCAAACATAGAAACATCAACTATTTCCTCTACAAGCTGTTATGCTTTCTTTTACAAGACTGTTGTTAAACCTTCTCCTGTTTGAAAGTCAATGGCCCAGTTTGTACTACTCCTAACAGGAGAGAAAGGAAAGCCCAGGCACACACCCCAAGCTGCCCCAGCAGGGACTGCACAGCTGTTCCTGGTGCCCACACAAAGTGAGCCCTGCACTGACCCCTGTGCATCCACCTCCAGGGACAAAGCCCTGACTGCATGGTAACACAGCACAGAGACCCAGAAGGGACCCAAAAGGATCATCGGAGTCCAAACCCCTGGCCCTGCACAGGACAGGCCCAAGAATCACATCATCTGCCTAAGAACACATAGAATCATAGGCTCATAGTATCATAGTATATCCTGAGTTGGAAGGTAAAAGGATCCACAAAGGTCATCAAACTCCTGACCCAAAACAGGATATCCACAAAAATCACAGTACATGCTCTGAATATTGTCCAAATTTTCTTGAATTCTGGCAGGCTTGGTGCTGTGACCTCTTCCCTGGGGAGCCTGTTCCAGTGCTTGACCACTGACTGGGTAAAAAATTTTTCCCAATATCCACCCTAAACCTCCCCTGACACAGCTTCAGGCCATTCCCTCAGGTCCTGTCGCTGGTCCCCCGAGAGAAAAGATCAGTGTCTGTCCCTTCACAAGGAAGTTCTACACAGCAACGAGGTCTCCCCTCAGTGTCCTCGAGGCTGAACAGCCCAAGTGCCCTCAGCCATTCCTCACACAGCCTCCCTTCAGGCCCTTCACCTTCTTCATGGCCCTCCTTGGGACACCTGCTACACGAACCAAACACTGCCTGTTTGGAGTCTGCTCGGAGTAGTAAAACTTGTCTTTAATTTACAGTCGGTACGATTCACCTTTATTTTCTTCTTCGAGGACATTTTGCTATTCAGTACAGGCTGCTGAATACACAGCTGAGAATAAAGTCAGTGAAAACTCGGCCCCGATACAAATCTGCTTTCTCCGTGCTGGTCCCTGGGAGAGAACGGGAAATCCTTGTTACTCCAACTGCAGAAGCAGCGAAACTCGGCGCACAGCCTGAAGGATCGGGT